CATTGTGATTACAGTACAAATCTGTTGACCTTACTCCGTTCCTTACTTGTGTAGTATGGTCAAGAGAAAGATATCAGTGTCTGTCATTGGGCTTACAGTACAAATCTGTTAATATTACTCCGTTCCTCACTTGTGTAGTATGGTCAAAAGAAAGATATACGTGTCCGTCATTGGGCTTACAGTACAAATCTGTTGACATTACTACGTTCCTTACTAGTGTATATAGTATAGTCAAGAGAAATATATCAGTGTCTGTCATTGGGCTCACAGTACAAATCTGTTGACATTACTCAATCTTACTTGTGTAGTAGTTTCAAGAGGAAAATATTGGTGTTTTTCATTGTGCTCACAGTACAAATCTGTTGACATTACTAAGTTCCTTTCTTGTGTAGTATGGTCAAAAGAAAGATATCAATGTCTGTCGTTGGGCTTTCAATTAAAATCTGTTGACATAAGTCAGTTCCTTACTTGTGTAGTAATGTCAAAAGAATAGTATAAGTGTATTTCATAGGGCTTCCAGTACAAATCTGTTGACATTACTACATTCTTTTCTTCTGTTGTAGTGTTGAGAGATATCCTTTTGTTATTCACCGTTACAGATATAGGCAATGGGCAAAATTAAATATAAACTAATTCTTGAGTAAAATGTGCAGAATAAATGGCAAAAAAAAAAAAGAAAAGAGAAAAATAGGGCAAAAAAATAAAGAATAGAGAATAATGGGTTGCTAAAACATAAAGAATAGAGAATAACGGGTTGCTAAACCATAAAGAACAGAGAATAATGGGTTGCTAAACATAAAGAATAGAGAATAATGGGTTGCTTAAACATGAAGAATAGAGAATAATGGGTTGCTAAAACATAAAGAACAGAGAATAAATAGGTGCTTAAACATAAAGAATAGAGAATAATCGGTTGCTAAAACATAAAGAACAGAGAACAATGGGTTGCTAAAACAAAAAGAACAGAGAATGATAGGGTGCTAAACCATAAAGAACAGAGAATAATAGGGTGCTAAACCATAAAGAACAGAGAATAAGGGAAAGCTAAACCATAAAGAACAGAGAATAATGGAAAGCTAAATTATAAGAACAGAGAATAATGGGTTGCTAAAACATAAAGAACAGAGAACAATGGGTTGCTAAAACAAAAAGAACAGAGAATGATAGGGTGCTAAACCATAAAGAACAGAGAATAATAGGGTGCCAAACCATAAAGAACAGAGAATAATGGAAAGCTAAACCATAAGAACAGAGAATAATGGGTTGCTAAAACATAAAGAATAGAGAATAATGGGGTGCTAAAACATACGAATAGAGAATAATGGGTTATTAAAACATAACGAACAGAGATTATAGGTTGCTTAAACATAAGGAACAGAGAATAACGGGTTGCTAAAAAATAAAGAAGAGAGAATAATGGGTTGCTAAAACATAATGAATAGAGAATAATGGGGTGCTAAACCATAAGAATAGAGAATAATGGGTTACTAAAACATAAAGAACAGAGAATAATGGGTTGCTAAAACATAATGAATAGAGAATAATGGGGTGCTAAACCATAAGAATAGAGAACAATGGGTTGCTAAAACAAAAAGAACAGAGAATGATAGGGTGCTAAACCATAAAGAACAGAGAATAATAGGGTGCTAAACCATAAAGAACAGAGAATAAGGGAAAGCTAAAACATAAATAACAGGGAATAATGGAAAGCTTAACCATAAGAACAGAGAATAATGGAATGCTAAACCATAAGAACAGAGAATAATGGGTTGCTAAAACATAAAGAATAGAGAATAATGGGGTGCTAAACCATACGAATAGAGAATAATGGGTTGCTAAAACATAAAGAATAGAGAATAATGGGGTGCTAAACCATACGAATAGAGAATAATGGGTTACTAAAACATAAAGAACAGAGATTATGGGTTGCTTATACATAAGGAACAGAGAATAACGGGTTGCTAAAACATAAAGAACAGAGAATAATGGGTTGCTAAAACATAATGAATAGAGAATAATGGGGTGCTTAACCATAAGAATAGAGAATAATGGGTTACTAAAACATAAAGAACAGAGAATAATGGGTTGCTAAAACATAATGAATAGAGAATAATGGGGTGCTAAACCATAAGAATAGAGAATAATGGGTTACTAAAACATAAAGCATAGAGAATAATGGGTTGCTAAAACATAAAGAACAGAGAATAATGGAAAGCTAAAACATAAAGAACAGAGAATAATGGAAAGCTAAAACATAAAGAACAGAGAATAATGGAAAGCTAAAACATAAAGAACAGAGAATAATGGAAAGCTAAAACATAAAGAACAGAGAATAATGGAAAGCTAAAACATAAAGAACAGAGAATAATGGAAAGCTAAAACATAAAGAACAGAGAATAATGGAAAGCTAAAACATTAAGAACAGAGAATAATTGGTTGCTAAAACATAAAGAACAGAGAATAATGGGTTGCTTAAACATAAAGAATAGAGAATAATGGAAAGCTAAACCATAAGAACAGAGAATAACGGGTTGCTAAAACATAAAGAATAGAGAATAATTGAAAGCTAAACCATAAGAACAGAGAATAACGGGTTGCTAAAACATAAAGAATAGAGAATAATGGAAAGCTAAACCATAAGAATAGAGAATAATGGGTTGCTAAAAATTAAAGAATAGAAAATAATGGGATGCTTAACCATAAAGATCAGAGAATAACGGGTTGCTAAAACATAAAGAATAGAGAATAATGGGTTGCTAAAACATAAAGAACAGAGAGTAATGGGTTGCTAAAACATAAAGAACAGAGAATAATGGAAAGCTAAACCATACGAACAGAGAATAAAGGGTTGCTAAAACATAAAGAATAGAGAATAATGGATTGCTAAAACATAAAGAATAGAGAATAATGGGTTGCTAAAACATAAAGAACAGAGAATAATGGAAAGCTAAACCATACGAACAGAGAATAATGGGTTGCTAAAACATAAAGAATAGAGAATAACGGGGTGCTAAAACATAAAGAACAGAGAGTAATGGGTTGCTAAAACATAAAGAATAGAGAATAATGGGGTGCTAAAATATAAAGAACAGTCTGAGAGAATAATGGGTTGCTAAAACATAACGAGCAGAGAATAATAGGGTGCTAAACCATAAAGAACAGAGAATAATGGGTTGCTAAAACATAAAGAACAGAGAGTAATGGGTTGCTAAACCATAAAGAACAGAGAATAATGGGTTGCTAAAACATAAAGAACAGAGAATAATGGGTTGCTAAGCATAAAGAACAGAAAATAATAGGGTGCTAAAACATAAAGAACAGAGAATAATTGACAAAACATAAAAAGAATAGAGAAAATGACCTAAAAAATTAAAGAATACAGAAATGAAGGACCCCCATCCAGATCCTCAATAACAGTTAGGTTTTTAATTTTCTTTTCGATACAACTTCAATTTACCCAATTTTCTTTGTTCTGTGCATTATTATGCCATGATTTTGTGCTTAACACTCTAGAATTTCACTTTGTAATAATTGTAAAGAGTGATACAAATTAATGCACGTGGCTTCCTGCCGAAGCAAGACATCTCGGCACATTACAAACTCGGCACATGTCAACTCATAGTGCAAACTCGGCACATTACAAACTCGGCATATTACAAACTCGGCCCATTAAAAATAATATTAGATATATATTATTGTGCCAATAAAGACTTATTTTCATTTTTATTTGTAATTCAATTTTGTCACTTATTTATGTTGTCTTCTATTAAAATTTGTGTTTGTATTTAATATCTTATTTACAGTAGTGTCCCGTAATTCCGCCCGTCCGGTAACCCCCCCCCCCCCCCCCCCCCCAATCCCATTTACTTCCGTAATTGTCACGTTCGTGACTATTTCGTCTGCTATTTTATTCAAAGGAACTGTACTCATCATCACTGGATGTCAAATTTTAAAGAAAAATCCTTTATTACGAAAATATCTAGTGCTATATATATAATACAGTCCCTAAAGCTAAGGATAATCATATTATTGCTTACAAAACTCATTTCTGACTTGAATTTGTTTTTGTGGATTATCTGGAATCCCTTTATAAGTGGTCTTTAATAAATAGATCTCTTCCTATTTTTCATAAGTTATCATAATAATTATAACAAACACAATTTTTTGGGTTAAACGGACAGAAAGTCACAGGACAAAAAGTCACAGGACAGAAAGTCACAAATTTGTTGGGACAAAAAGTCACAAATAATTTGTTGACAATTGTTTGATTATATAAGAGAAAGATCTTGAAATGTTTTTCTTTTTATTACATATATCCTTTTAACAGTTTAGAAAATTGTTCATTAGCCTTGATAAATAAAAAAATCATTAAATTTTAGGCATGCAATGGATATATTTCATGGCACCATGAAGCCGCTTTGACATTTTGTTTCCGTAACAATTATTTGATAATTATCGATATTTATTAAATAAATTTTAATTAAAAAGTTGCTTTATATATATTACTTCCAGAAAAATACAAAAATGTTTTTTGTTTTTTCTTTTCAATAAGTGTTTTCTTAAAAATGAATTGTGTTCCAATTCTCACCTACGGTAAAAAAATTATTCATATTTCTTTCTCTAATCGTAATCATTATATACATGTAACATTGCTTTTTATGAACCATTTTCATTAATGGGCCGAGTTTGTATATGCCGAGTTTGACATGTCCCGAGTTTGTAGTGAGCCGAGATGTCCTGTATTCCTTCCTGCCACTGCTTCCTCCATTTTTAACAACTGCTTCCCTCGAAATCTAAATAAAAAATAAGATGACTCAAATGTTTGCGTTATTTCGTAAAGGTTCGCGTTATAAGTAAACGCTAACATAGGAAGAAGCATAAAAAAGTTTGCATTGCGCTAATACTTTTTCGTACAAAACTCTATTAAAGTTGATCGTTTGTTATCGGTTCAATAAACATATATTGCATTGCATTGATTGGTATTGTATTACATACTAGATACCCGTATGTAGAAATGACTTGTCGACAATCGGTAATGTTTATAAAGGAAACGAAAATGGAAATTCTTTTTAACCAAGACAGAGACATATAATACAAATGTATTATATGTCTCTGACCAAGAGGACTATTTTTAAAGGTAATTTTAGTTAGTTCTGTTGAATAATATTAATATGAAAGTTGTTTTCCGTTTGTTTGATGTGTTTGAGCTTTTGATTTTGCCATTTGATAAGGGACTTTACGATTTGAATTTTCCATGGAGTTCGGCATTTTTGTTATTTTACTTTTCATTATTCAGACAGTAATATAAGTATCGTAAAATCTATATTTGTGTGTTACATTAAATGACCTTCATGAGAAGAAAATAATATTGTAGATTTTCGTGAACATGGGCGTATCAAGAATGCATATTATGTTGAAAAATGTGTTTTTAGTTCTTTTTTTTTTTTTAATTTTGACAGCCTGCTTTTTAATCTACTCCTCCGTATCTTCCTCCCTTTATCAAAGTCCTGGAGTCTGCCACTGGTGAAAGATATCATATTTTACACGTATATATGTCCCCTTTGAGGACCTCATTCTGAAATGTAAGAAGACAACTTTTCAAGTAACTATTTTACCAAGTTATTTAATTCAATTCATAGTAAACCAAATAGAAAAGCTGGACTTCATAAAACAAACTTGCTAAGCCTTATAAGATGCACATATTTATTAGTTTAAAATAAACTTATAAACAAGTCTTACAGGTTTTTCAATCGTCTTTGTGTATCGCCCCGTAAATGACTTGATTAACTAGTGATAGCTATCAGTGCTCTTTCAATAGGTAGCTTACAAAGGTAAATCTATTTAAAAGTCCATCTAACAAGAATTAAACATAACTTCCTTATTCATTGTACACGCAAATGTACCATTGATTATACCATTTGAATGATCCAGTCAGGTGGCCTAGACATAAATTATTTTCCTGAATGTGACCTACCGAATTAGACTTATTACCGGATTTGTACTTACATGAGCTACACGACGGGTGCCACATGTGGAGCAGGATCTGTTTACCCTTCCGGAGCACCTGAGATCAACCTCAGTTTTTTATGGGGTTCGTGTTGCTCAGTCTTTAGTTTTCTATGTTTTTGTGTACTATTATTTGTCTGTTGGTCCATTCTCTTTTAGCTATGGCGTTGTCAGTTTGTTTTTGGCTTATGAGTTTGAATGTCCCTCTGGTATCTTTCGCCTCTGTTTTATTGATTTATTTCCTCTGCATGACAACACCTACACTTAAAACAACAATTAAAACTTTAGGCACAAATCATTCGTCTTTTTCTGGGGTATAGTTAAACATTGTTTATTAAAAAAATATCTAAAAAAGTAAACAACATTGACATGACATAAAATGCTTAGTAGAGAGAAAATCAGCATCTATCTAAAGTACTATTTTTAGTAGCAGGCACCTTCCGGAGTGTCATTGAACTTATAGACAGGACATTTTTTTTTTGCCCTCCTCCTTATTTCAAAATTATTTTTTGTTTTCTTTTAATTGTAATTATTTTTTTTGTGATTTTCTGTGTTATACTTCCATAAATTTACTACAAACAACGTTTGTTTACGATTTATATTACTATCAATTGCTAGTTTATTGTCGACAGCGGTCACTGATAACTTATTTGTATAAGTATTGCCGATTGACGACCAAATGTCAGATTTTTTTCTTCATTTTTTCTATGTGATCTTCATACTGCAAAGCAAATAATGTTTTGGAATGCAGCATGTTTTGTTTTCTTTCAAGAAAACTGTTTACATGATCACATTTAGTACTAGTACATTGGACAATTCAGAGTCATTTAATATCTTAAAAGGGGTGGATGTTTTTTTTTCTGAGGGATATCAAAAGCCATTTCTTAGGCCCGATTGGCTCAAAATATATCTGAAGGGTGCCCATTTTTGTTTCTGATGGGTCTTTTGTTGTCTTAATGTGTAAAATTGAGGAAATGCTGGCACAATTTGGCATCTGAGGGGTTTAAAACAAAATTAAGCACGTGAGAGATTGAAATTTGCCTGAAATTTTTCTTAGGGGGTCTCTGACAAGGTATAATCCCCCGGCTTTTCATATCTTAATTGGAACAGAGACATATAATACAATGATTGGAATGTCCCATTACGAAATTGTTTCTATGCAGCATTTTTAATTATTTGTTTACCATATAAGACTAGTCTAGACAAGACTGGAGCAGTCAATATACAAGACTCAGGGCGGGTCCAGGCGGCGTTATTTCAGAAAACGGAATCTATCTACTACCGACGAGCGGAAACAGACCTTTTCGCTATTTAGGAATATGCGACTTTTGAATTATTGACGTAATACAACAATCACTTTTCCTTTGTGGCGTCAGACATTTTCTATTGTGACATCAATTTTTTTTTTCGGGAATCAAAGGCTATGTGATGTCCAGTAATGACGGACAAAAAGTGATAAGGGAGGCCCCTCATGGGGGTGTCCAAGTAATCACATAATCACAAATTTTTTGCCACAATATGAATCACATAATCAAAAACCCCATGAGGAGGCTCATATTTTATAAGGTGTATTTAGAGCGGAAATTTTTTTTAACGTTTTTATAATCATATAAATCGTGAGAACAATGAGAAACTGTTTTGACGATCAAAGTGTAGCGTACGCCCTCTACGTACCCCTGGATCAACCAGTACGACTGCAACCTGTCTTACTTTAAAAAAATCCTATCAGAAAAATTTCCGGAAACAAGTCCTGAAACGAGTTGTATATTATGCCAAGTAGATATTAGTTTCACGCCGCCTCTCAAAGTATGTTTCCTGTAACGATTGTGAAAGAAATGGTAAGAATAGACGGTTTTTGTCAAACATACTCAAAGATATCTCAGCTGGTGCAGTGGTGGTCCTAGTTCCAAACAACAGTAAATTATACACATGTAATACTAAATAGTCATGACTGACTAAGAGTAAGAGGGGGTCCGCTTCCAGTCATACTCCAGTGATTCCCTAAATAACCAAGTTTTTCCCCCAAATCCGCCTCTAACTAGTATATCATTGACTACCCAATAACAGGTTGGGCTCAAGTCAGGAAAAGTGGGGTATTCCCTGTTTTCAGTGATCACCCCAGTTTTCTGGTGTTAAAAAACACCAGTTTACAGGGACTTCCTTTTTCTATTTCAATTTATTGCATGAAATTTACAAAAGCGCATGTTTTATCTGTATCAGTAGTATTTGTAAATACTTTTAAGTATTTTAGGAACAACAAAACATGAATAAGTGAAGCCTTGTTTTTTCTAGAACTCAAAAACATACAATTCTTTTGTTTATGAATCATTTGATCAAGCTGCATGCTCCAGGTGTAACTGGTCGTAACTGAATTATGTTCACTTCTATTGAAAATGTCTATTCATTGAATTTAAATGCCTAAGTGATTAACTTATCTTTTTGTCTTCTCATAATTGATGATCAAGGTATGACAGTCAAGGGTCTAACTTAAATAAGTTATTAGAGAAAAATAACAATACATTTGTTATTGAGGGCTAAAAAATCAAAAATCTGTAATAACATATGTATGTTACATGTTTCAAAGGGGCATTATACATCCTTAATTTTGTTAAATTGTGTACTAGTTCTATTGATATTATAATTGTCTTTATGTATATTAAACTTTAGAAAGATATAACAGCCCATAGTTTGCCAATCATTCATAACACACCCACGTTATCACAGAAAAAATATGCCTGTAATAACTAAAGGGTGTTATTACAGCTTCTCTACATCTCTTCAAAGCCCTTTCTCCTACATATATCACAATGTATTTTAATTTATTGTAATAAATAATGATAAGAGCATGTAATGAGGTTCTGCGCAAGCTTCCTAGTCATTCCCAAGTGTCTCATGTAATAAGTTAAATGCCTGTAATAACTAAGCCTTGTTATTACAGCTAAGTTATCACTTAAAAGCCTTGTCTCATTGATTTACCATGGTTGATCAAAAATGTATTAATTGAATTGGAAAATTAGTTTTCAAGGTTATGTATTAAGGTACTGCGCAAGTTTCAAGAATTCCCAAGTGCCCACTGAAAATAAAAAAAATTATGGTACATTTAACTGATAACAAACATATGTTACTACAGATTAAGAGAAAGTATTCGTAATAACACATGTATGTTATTTTTCTCTAATAACTTATTCAAGTTACACCCTTGACTGTATGAATTGGTGAACAAAGGAATTGTTTTGTTGTGAGTTGAGCATCAAATAAGACTTGAAATTAGCTTGATTTTTGAACTTATAAAAACACTTGCTATCATATAACATTGTTATCACATGTAGAAGGTGCGCTTTTGTAGGTTTCATACCATAAATTGACAAGGAAAAAAGAAGTCCCTGTTTACTGGGTTTTTTAATACCAGAAAACTGGGGTGTTCCCTGAAAACAGGGAATACCTCACTTTTCCTGACTTGAGCCCAACCTGAATAAGGTCTTGCACGTGACGGTCGGTACAGAGACAGTTCACAAATTGCACAGAGTAGGGGAAAACCGCCTAATTGCGGACAGCACCGATATGCGGACGGAAAACGAATATCTCACTTTTCAATTAAATTATGAAAAATTGAAATAAAATAGATATAAGAAATAAGGTGTTTTGCTTGCTATTGAATCTCTATTTTGTTGAAATAAGGTTATCATGTCTATTGCTTACGATTTACTTTTGTGTCATGTGATTGAAATTGCATGCTATAAATAGTATGTCAACAAGTTTGAAAACCGGGAAATTTTGAAAAAGGTCCAAAATCAGCGTGTCATGTTGAATACACAGTTGTTCATGTAAGAATGGCAATTTATGTGTTGAAAAGCAATAGGCATGCATTGAGTATTTTATGCAAGGAAACATTTCTTTTAATTATTTTTTGCTGATTTGTCTAAATTTTGATTATAAAATAGGAATAAGCAAGTGTCCGCATTTTCACCACCAGAAATAATATGGTAGCCGAAATGCGGACACAAAATATTTTGAACAACTAACACGTGCAGTGGTGCATATGTCAATACCATGATGACGGAAATAAACAAAACTCTCTTATAATCTAGCATTATTAGTTTCAATCCAATACATTTATATCAATAAAGTGTT